CCCCGGAAGGATTCCAAAGCCAGTGGGAGAGGATGATTTTTTTTTTTTTTTTTTTTATCCTGTCACGCTAAACAATACGGTTTCACCATGTTTCTTTCATTCTCCGTCCGTCCCCTTCTCTTCTGCAAGGAATGTAAATTTATGATGTCTCTCACCTGACAGCACAGAAGGTTACCTTTTGAATTCCCGCTGTGTTTGGCCTTTACCCTTTACACTTGATATTTGAATGCCTATTTTCCTCACCAATATTCACACACATGCACACAAAGGCATAGAACCATAAATTGTATGTATGGATTCTCTGCATAAATACAACTGCACTCTTTCTTCCTTAAAAAAAAAGAAAAAGAAAAAAAAAAGGCATTTGGCAGCGCCGCAGGACGCGTCCTCAAAATGGATCTCAGAGCAAGGCGGCTCTTTGTGAGCGAGGAAGCGCTGAAATGGCAACTTTGCATTTCTTAACACGTGAAGCGACAATATGCCACCCCGGAGACATTCTGTTACTCCCTCCACCTGCATGTGCATGATTAAAAAAAAAGAAAAAGAAAAAAAAAAGGCATTTGGCAGCGCCGCAGGACGCGTCCTCAAAATGGATCTCAGAGCAAGGCGGCTCTTTGTGAGCGAGGAAGCGCTGAAATGGCAACTTTGCATTTCTTAACACGTGAAGCGACAATATGCCACCCCGGAGACATTCTGTTCCTCCCTCCACCTGCATGTGCATGATTGTGGAGGAGGTAAAATGGGCCTCTGTGGACACCTTGAGCTGAGAAATAGGAAGAAAACATAGGGGGGAAAAAACCCAACGTAAAAATACAACATTTGTACATGGGAAGACGCATTAGATCTCTCCATCCAGGTAAGCCAACAAGAATGATCATGACATCCACTGGAGTTTTTCCCTCCACACAAGACCTCTTCCTGAACATAAATGACAATGGCGACCTTAAAGAGAGGAATGGCAAAGGAAGCGGGAAGTAAAATTAACACAATAGAAAGCAAAAATTCGAAAATTAAAAGTGATATGAAAAGCAGGCTGGTAATTTTATATCGAACGAGACTAAAATTCACTGATTGTTTGCTCCAATCCAACAATGCCATATTGATATTATTACCACAAATACATAAGGGGGAGGGGGTGAGAAGACCCTGCAAAAAAATGCAATAGAAGGAAATTAAAGCGGATGTGATGTCACGAAAAAAAATAACTTCCTGAAAAATAAATTGAATGAGAAAAAAGTTGGACCTTTTAAAAGTATAAAGTTCTCCTTGACCAAAAAAAAAAAAAAAATCCACGCCAAAAAAAGTTCGGTTTTCGTTTGAAGCTGCCTTTCAAATCCACTACTTAACCCTTTCATGCACCAATAATGATAACCTGTCACCTGATAACACGATAAGATTCCACTATAGTGAGTGCTGTCCCTGAAAGGGTTAAAGATGCGAAATCAGCCAGTGCAAATCATCGCGGGTTTCATATTTCGCATGTGCAAAACGATGTACGTCATGCCCCCTGAGTATCAAATGCATTTTCTCTCATTCACTCTCACTTACTCATACGTTCTCTCAGTAACACATTCACTCACCCACATTCTCTCACTGAGCCACACTTTGTCACTCACTCACTCTCTCATTCAAATGCACGCATGCACGCAAGCACACGTTTATGGTTGAGATTCCAATCAGAGATCTTGGGGCCCCCCCCTGACAGGCGTCCACTGACCAGGGCCGACATTTCCTTGGCAGGTGCGTGCATGTCTAATCAGGGATGAGAGCAAAGCGAGCTCCGGCAATTAACGCGGGCTGATTGGGCTCTGTTCCACGCGGGGCTAAAAACAATCTCTGGCACAACAGATTGCAGTCTGACAGCAGCAGATGTCATTCATTAATTACGCTGATAGAAAAAAAAAAAAAAAAAAAGATGTCAGCGGCGGGCGCGGTGCTCCGATCAACTGCAAGGCTTACCATCACCATCAAGTCACATTCTTCCAGCAATGAGTTGTAATATTACCGGAATAAAGCCAATGTGCGGATTTAAGACAGTAACGGGGAATCATTTTGCTATAAAAAGACACTTTTTTAAGCTGTGTAACATTACAAGATTCAAGTCCGACAAGAACAAAAGTCTTATTATAAGTACGTCTTATTTACTTGAGAAAATACGCACACGAATGGCGAAATGGCGCACGGTGCTTTTGGGTTTCCTCACCTTGTCCGAGAGGTTCTTGAGCGCCTCTCTCAGGCTGGGAGAAGAATGCTCGTGAGCAGCGTGAAGTAGTTGGTCCGCTAAGGTGCCGATGAGCGGCTGCAGGAGGCTCACGCTGCTCAGAACCTCTTGAGCTTTGGCCGTGTGCTCCGGGGAATAGTAGATACACTGGTAGGCCGTGCTGAAGCTGCAGCGACAAAAAAATGACAAACAACAGACTGAATTCACTTCTTCTCCACCTTCAATAAAACTTGCGGATTTGATGAAGATGAAAATGAGTTGCTCTTTTTGCGCTCAGGCCAAAGTGCTAAAAATATTATTGTTGGAATATTACTAAGGCACCATCTGGCAGAGTCTCGATTTCACTGTTCCGTTTATTCATTGATAGTGTTTTATTGTCTTGGTTTTGTTGGTGGACTTTCACGACACCCCGCGTTATTTAGGGGAAAATTCTGGCAAATAGTATTGTGAAGGTGGTTTGTTTATTTTGAAGAATTCAACTAACTGAATACAGTAGTTTAGGCCACATGGGTTTATGATTGGGAACATGCTAGAAGCATGGTGTTGATGTTTGATGAGCATCTCTGTTTTAAAGAATTTTTTTTTCAACCCACCTCCATATTGTACAGATAAAAAAAAAAATTCCCAGAAAAAAATGGTGCCATTTACAAATGATCAAAAAGCTGTTATATTATGAAAATAAGTCACGGTACTTTTTCAGCAAAATGCTGTAAATTACATTATGAAAGTACAGATTATTTATTTTAACATAAAGCCTTTAAATAAATTGGAAAAAAAAAGAATAAAAAAAACGAAATATGTGAATTATTTCCCCAAAAAATCAATTTAGGAGAAATAACCAGATTTAAAAAATATATATTCTGAGTACAATAATCTTGCTTCAAGAATAAACTCATGAAAAAAAATGACTAACTGTTATAAGCCGTGTTTATTTCTCAAGCCTTTAATCACAAAAGAATCCCAGAGGGTTTGGTTTGCAATATTCCAAGAATTAGGTGAATTACGCCCATTGAAAAAACATACAGCACAATGAGAATCAATAAATACTCACTGGAACATGCAATATATTTATTCAGTCCACACATGGCACACTTGTGATTTCGTATACTAGCATAAGTACGTGTGTGTGTGTGTGTGTGTGTGTGTGTGTGTGTGTGTGTGTGTTGTGTTGCGTTGTTGTTGCATCACTTCCCAACGAACCACTCTCCAGGTTTCCAGGCTGAGCTGTCAAATTCAAGCCGCGGGTCCAATGTCTTTTCATGTGTGTCGCTTTATGAATACTTCATCTTTTCCTCACTTTGAAGGCAGCCGTTTAGTCTCAGACAAAAACACCTTTTGTCACTTCCTAGATCCGGGGCAAATTACTCCAGTCAAACACTCTCCCGGGGTGAACATTTCAGAAGAGACTTGGAATTAATTTTGTAAACCAAATTCCCCCCCTCCTCCACGCCCCCCACCCGATTTCCTGCCATGAGCGACGCAGTCATTTGTAAAGCTTGAATGTAGGCTAACCCCGAGAGTCACAAAGTCCCAAGACGTCATTGACGAGAGAAAACCAGAGAGCTGCTTTTCATCCCCCCCCCCCAAAAAAATTGCAGCTCTTGCGAGTTGAAAATTGCATTCCACTCCACAGGAAAAAAATAAATGGTGTGTTTGAATTGACTCCATTTTATTTAATCAAGCAGCTGCACAAAATAAAATCATGAGGATCCAAATACATTCCTTAAGTGGGTGTATAGTCGAAAGAAATTGCCTGGATCCGGATGATTTTATTTTAGTGCAGACACTTGATTGAATAAAATTGAGTAAATTCAACAGCAACAAAAAAAAAACTTCTTTTCACGTATATTGTGATGTCGATTTGAATTAGACTCATTGTTCAGCCCTAGTTGTGTATTTAAACAAATAAACTTTGCCCATGACTTTAATGAACACACACACACACACACACACACACACACACACACACACACACACACACACACACACACACACACACAATGCAATATTTCAGAGACAGGCTGATGAAAGGTGAAAGGCAGTTGGAATCCTTTAAAACATAAAGACAAGACAACTCTGCTTAGATTCTTTATCCTCTGTGGGGGGGAAAAACGACTAATATTAATGCAGCTCACTGAGTTTAGAGGAAACCATCTTCTTCATCTATTTATTTTTTTAAAAATTAGACCACCCCCTTCTGGTCAAAATGAGCACACCAGAAATCTCAAAGGCCACCGCAGCAAGAAATCCCGATGCACCAACCGCTCACCTTAAACCAAAGACAAGGTCGAGAGACGTAAATTGCCACATCGGCATTTCTGTCAGTCTCTTAGGCAATTGAATCTGCGAGGCACGCTAATGACTTCTGAAACTTTCACAATCTCGGGATGTCTGATTGAACACCGAGGGGTATAGGCACACGAAGGTGCTCTTTTTTTTTACACCTGGAATTCCAAAGGCAAATTAACACTTCCGTGCAGGTGAAGACAATCCCACAAGCTCCTCGTATTAGCACAACTCGGCTTTTTGTTCCCAGAAGAACTTGTTATTTTCCGTTTTGTTTAGAGGGGGGTTAGAGCTGCTTCCCGTTGAGATGCAAGACTTCAAAGTTCCACTTGCTCTTGTTTTCTGTGAAGACACCTTGCTCTAAATTACAAGGGATGGGGAAAAAAAATTAAAAAACAGAAGTACGAAGGGTTGTCTGGCGGATGCATTTGGGATCGACAGTATCTCCATTTCCTGAAAGTGTAGTTGGTGCCGTCGTTATTTTTAGACAAAAAAAAAAAGACTTTCAAAAGTTCAAATCGCAATAGTATGCAATGGAACGGTATATAATAATGATGTGGGTGGGGGGGAAAAAATACTTGCATGCCATTATATCAAATCGTATTGCAGCTTAGTTGGAGTGAGCCTTGATTTGAGTGGATCGTATTGTGATTGGACGGAATTCGATTGTAATTGGATTGAATTGCATCAGGTGACTGGTGTTGCAATTGGAGCGAAATGTATTGTAACTACACATAAAAATATCATCACTCGACAAAACAGGATGGTATCCTAATTGGAGTGAAGCATATCCATAATCGTGGCACATGGGACTGAGCCGTACTGTGTAAAGGCTGACCGGAGTAAATCCGAATCCGATTGTCTGAACCGGTTCATAATCGGGAGTATAGAGCGTTGTAACCGGATGAAATCTATCTATCTATTTAGTGAGATATCTATCTGTCTAGCTAGCTAGCTAGCTAGCTATAAATCTATCGATCTATAGCTAGCTAGCGAGCTATCTATCTATCTATCGGAAATGTTGTGATTTGGAAAAATTTAAAACAAAGTCAAACCCAATTCAACCCTGACAGTTCTTTGGCTTGCGAGCCTAATTAGACCAGTGACAGTATATAAAATGGACCTACGTCAATGTCCCGGATTTTCCGGCACAAGCAGGAAGTTGTTTTGTTGGACAACATTCTGCCATGTCGCATTAAGTCGGACACTAAACCACCCAGGAGACTATTATGTGACATGTGGTCCCACAAGTGCTTCCACCACCACCACCACGACAACTCCTGTGTTCAATGGCGCTTGACATTACATCCTAAACCCAACGTCTTAGTCCACTGTACTGTTTGTAGTTTGTTAGTGAACAGGCTACTTGCTAATTCAGATTGCTGTCCCAAGAGCAATATTCAGGTCTTTCCTGAAACGAAAAAAAAAAATATACGGCAATATAAATCTGCCCAAGTCAAAAAGAGGCCGTTAATGTAAGATTAGATCGGCTGGGTAAATGCGCAGCGTATAGGGTTCCATTTAAAGCAGACTTTTATAAGAGCAATTAAAGCGAGACTGCATGGATTAAAGGAAGATAAATGCCGGGTGCACTTTCATCCGCGGCCTCCCAAAGAATACGAAGAGCAAATATTGATTATACTCTTTCGGGGCCCATCCTGCAAGACAAACTACATCAGGCGTGCCGCTCATTGCCAAGTTTGGGCCAATGTGAGGTTTTTAATAGACGTTGAAAGCTACATGCACGCACGCACACGGGACAATCCAGCAGGCCAACATCCCCGTCTCCTTTCTCGGGTGCATTGAACAAAGACAAATTGCTCTTTTATTGGGAGGCCACAAACACATCGGTGCTTCGGCTTCTTTTCTCTGTCTGTCTCCCAAGTGTAATGGATTAATATCACAGTGAGCAGATTGCCAACGTGGAGATGAAAGCCAGTGTGTGGTTTGTCTGTGCGTACCGCATGTATGTGGCTTACGGCTTTCTGCGAAAGGATGAATGTGAAAACTTTTTTATCAAATTTGGAATCATTCAGGGCGGTCCAGTGTTTAGCGCGTCGACCTCACAATGCAGAGGTGTAGGGTTCGATTCCAGTTCCGGGCTTACGGCTTTCTGCGAAAGGATGAATGTGAAATCTTTTTTATCAAATTTGGAATCATTCAGGACGGTCCAGTGGTTAGTGCGTTGACCTCACAATGCAGAGGTGTAGGGTTCGATTCCAGTTCCGGTCTCCCTGTGTGGAGTTTGCATGTTCTCCCTGTGCCTGAGTGGGTTTTCTCCGGGTACTCCGGTTTCCTCCCGCATTCCAAAAACATGCGTGGAGGGTAATTGGAACACTCTAAATTGTCCATCTGTGTGATCGTGAGCGCGGATGGTTGTTTGTCTCTGTGTGCCCTGCGATTGGCTGGCAACCGGTTCAGGGTGTCCCCCGCCTACTGCTCGAAGATGGCTGGGATAGGCACCAGTACCCCGAGCGACCCGTGAGAGGATAAAAGCGGATCGGAAAATGGATGGATGGATGGAGGCAATCTGTGTCAAGTGGTGACCCTCAATATTTTTAGCAAGGTGTACAAAAAGTAAGAGTGGGAGGCAAGAGTCAAATTCAGCATGAGTGAGGGGAAACAACATTTAAGTCGTACTTGTAAAGAGGATTGTCAAATGGGCCGAGTCAAAACGTGGATAAGGTGAAGCGCCAGGCTCTCGGCGGCGGCTAGCCAGGCAGAAAATTGGAAAGTTTTAAGCTACAGCGAGTCATTAGCTAAGTCAAATACGAAGCCAAAAGCTTTTGTCTCCCTGGACGATTGTGTCTCAAGTCTAATCTCTCCCTTTTCACTTCAATGGATTCTTCACAATATGTTTAGTTTATCGGCATAATACTATGCTGGGAGAGAGGAACGACTATCGCTTTAGCGAGAAGTCTTCATTTTTGTATGGCTTAAAAAAAAAAACAAGTCCTTTTCTGCATTCATTTCCTTGA